GGCCCGGTGAGCCGTGGCCCTGACCCGGCGCGTCCGGAGCCTGTGCTCCGCAACAGGAGAGGCCACAACAGTGAGAGGCCCGTGTACTGAAGGAAAAAAAAAAAATATATATATATATATATATATATATATATATATATAAAAATTCAGTGAGGACAGGGACAGTATCTGTGCCAAGGGACACAGTAGGTTCTTAATAAATGATTAAGCAGTGAAATCCTTGGACCATGTAATGGAAATGGTAGGAATGATAAAAGTGGAATGATGCCTGAAAACAATCTCAAAGATCATCTGGTTTAGCCTCATTATGTAGATTTGAAGCTTAGGTTAGATTATTTATCTATAATTACAAAGCATTATCGGAGGTGGGGCTCTAACATAGATTCCTGAGCTCCCAGATCATTCTTCCATCAACGGCCCTACACTTAATACAGGTCGTCACAATATTTAGTTTTTATACCAAAATGTTACTCCTCCACAAGTCAGTGGACAATTCTGGATTAATGTCTTAGGCTGTGCTTAGTTGCCTAAGGAAGTTGTCTTACATTCCCACAGATTTTTCCGAAAACAGTGTTAACAATGAAAGGTAAAACTTTAATTGAACAATGATGTTAGATGGAAAAACCAAAATAATTTACTCTCTTCTTTTAGAAGTTGCTATTTATGGTTGTTTCTGGTTTCCTTCAAATTTGTTTTGCTGGACTTCTGTTGAGGTAATTTAGCATTTATACTCTCTGAGTGAAAATCATATTAAGACCTTTTAGAAGTAGAAGATGTTTTGGAAAGGAGGCAATCTTTTATGCAATTGTTTTCACTTGTGGAAAATAATTTAGTCTAGCTAGAGTGTAAGGCAAGGGGAGAAAACTCTTACCAACTGCAGTTTGAAAAGCTTGGCTTAATATTCCTGAAGACTTATATAACTTTAGTTTTCCTTGAAGTTTGTAGTATGACAGAAATGAACTAATACCCCCATTGATGTCGTTAATTGTAGAAATATGATATTCTGAACAATCAAAATAATACTGTTATAAACTCAAATAATAGAAATGTCTTTAGATTCTGAGTGTCTTTAAAACATACAGTACATCCCCCAAATTCCCCACTGATAATTTCTTTTTCCTTTCTTTTTTTGTCTGTCTTTACATTTCCTATAGCTATTTTGGCTCTGGTAGGCAGTCTATTACCAGAATCGAGGACAGGGATGGTACTGTTGAACAACCTAAAGCTGTTTTAAATGTAACAGAGTCCTAAACAGAGGGCACAGGTTTAGCTTGGTAGCAACTGGGGAAACTTGATCTTCAGGGACAAGAAGTTGTGGAAGTTGAATGGAAGTTCTTGCCATTGATCGTAAGGAACAGCCTTTACTGTTACTGATATATGATACTCAGTGTATGTTGAAGTGAAGCAATATTAGAAAAAGAAAGAACTGGAAAGTCACTGTTTTACCAGTTTTACTGCCTTTGTCTCAGTTCTTCAGGTTGCTTGAGAATACCAAGAAGTGATTTCCACCAAAGACTTCATACCCATCTGTTCCACCTTTTTGTGCCCTGTGGCAGTCTGTACTTCCCTATCCATCTCAAGTCAGCAGAGACAGATCAGGAAATAGGAGGGAAAGGGAGCAAAACCAGAATTTGTCCAGTGTTTTCTAGCTGTTTTGGATGAATTTGAACAGTAGATCTTTGGACTTCCCAGTGTTATGGTATTGTTTTGAATTTCCCAGCAGTACTCTCAAGTGAAAACAAGAAAGGCCACAAATGTGGCAGAATAGGGGTTAAATACACTTTAGATGGACCTACAGAAAAGTTGACTGATTCACAGACAAGTATTTTTTATTTGTATACGTAAGAGAAAGAGCTAGAGACTCACAAGGAATGGTTGGTAAACATTAAGAAATTATAGACCGGTTGTTTAAAAAAGAGACTTCTATTTTGGAAACTTTTAAAGTAATGGGGCTGAAGTATTAGATTATTATTAAGAGTATTTTGGACGTTTATAACCAAGAGTACCAGTTTGAGCAGAAACAATTACTATTTGGAAGCTTGCTAACATTTACGGGTTAGGCCTAAAGAGAAGCTACCATCCTTCTCACCTTACTGAGTAGTAGTGGCTTTTTGTCCCTTATAAAATGCATAGGGAGAGTTCTGTGTTGCAGTGCTTAAGCTTCACAGGTTTAAACAGCAGTAAGGTAGAAATTTTTCACTCAAAGAAGTTACTTATTAATTTTGAAGTAGAGAGTGAAGGAATACCATAAGCAGAGACACAGAACAATATTAGTGAGTTAGGGTTGTGTGTGTTTGAGAGAGAGAGCAATATAAACAAGATGCATTCATCTCCTCATTTGATATATATAATCCAAGAGTTGAAATTCTAAAAATATAATTTGGTCCACTGTGATCGAAGACTCATTTATTGTCACTCACAATAGTTGTGACTCTGTTACAACCAGACAGTGTGCTAGGTAGTAGGAATTCATTCAGTAGTTAACAAAATAGCTGCCTTCATAGATCTTACATTTTAGTGAAGGATACTGATAATTAAAAAGTAAGCAAACACAAATAATATAATTTCAGTTAGTGATAAGTAACAAAATAAAGCAGGGTAAAGAGAGAGTGCAATTAGGAGACAGAAATCACACAGTATTTTGAACAGAGAAAGTTTAATAGGATAACTATATTAGGAGAATTCGGGTAAAGAAAACTCTAAAGAAGTTAGGCATAGCAGTTATAAGAAGCAGCCATCACTGGTAGGCCTAAGAGCGAGTGCTCAAATAAGAGCCCTTCCCCGAAGTCTAAGACCTTGTTGGAGAAAGAATGACCATATTTCACTGAATGGCAAAGACTTC